CAATGTAGAAGTCAGCAACGAGAAGCATTTTGTAGTACTGGCATTTATCCGACTGGTTAACGATGGCGAAGATCATTTGGCCGACCGCGGTTGCACGGTGTAATCTCCAGAATGCACGTCGAGCCGCGGCCCAGAAATCAATCTGGCCCCGGCGGCATCTCTGCGACACTGACAGCACTGGTGGTTATGACGAGAGCTCATAGCCACATTGCTGAGCTGTGGACAAAATGCTTTCCGAGCATGTAGGTCGTGCATATGCCTACATAGACACGCAGCGCGCATCATCTTGATCCCGACAAAGCCTTTTGGGTCATCACAGCTCCCTTGCTCGCCACCCCCCCCCCTCCCAGGCCGCAGGCAGCCAGCTCTGGCGCCTGAGCCGCGGACGCGCCGCCGCGCCAGTGCGTCGTGGGCGCAGAGAGACTGCGAGCCGCGCATGTCGAGACTGCGGCGCGCTGTGTCCCGTTTTCTGGGGAGCTCGAGGCGAGCTCACTACTGGGGTCCCGGCAAGTGCCAGCTCCGCATTTGGTAGCTGTAGCTCAGATGTGTCGGCACAAAGCTCCAGCTGTAAAGATCCGGTAAGAATGCATGCAACTCGTGCAGCAAGAAATCGAGTGCAGACTCGCGGAGCTTTTGTTGACGGATGGCCGTTGGCATGTGCACTTGGTACTGCCAACATGCCACAATGCATAGTTTGTAGGGTTAGGGGGATTCGAACATTAGCTCTCTGTGCGGGCCTTCTTGGGTGGAAGCTCGTCTGTTTCTTAACTATGGCAGGCACCACGAGCAAGAGCATAGGCTCCGTCGTCTCCAAAACGGGTCTAGGTTGGTGTGTTGAAAGCTACTTTGACTTCGCCATGACATGACAATCTAAGCACCACAGAACAGGGCATCATCGCCTGCTTGTTTGTTCCGACTGCTGTGATGTTCTTCCTCTGCGCGCGTTGCTTGCATCGCTTCAGGCGCAGAATAGTTGGACCCCCAAAACCCTCCACCTCGGAAGTTCTGCCGAAGAGTTGGCGACAAGTGGTCATTCAAAGCTCTGAATCAATAAAGTACTATAGGGGCCTCAAAATAGAAAAAGGTTTGGGGCCCATTATACTATAGTGATAATAAGGAACCCCCAAAAGAGTGACATAAGGCAACACCAGGCCAAGCTGTAGTTGGGTCGCTGCATTTGGTGGCGGTGTTTTCGGAGCGTTGGAGTCAGTTGGTGCCTGCCCGAAAGCACAGCAAAATCGCTGTGTGACTGAATGTCCGTATTTGCAGGCCTCTCAGAATCAGAAGGGTTCCTGGACTGCGTAGGGCTTTGCAAGGAATACTTAACACAAAGATTCTCATGGTCAGTGTTGGGGAGTTTCTTGGTCGGGGAGTTGATGCGAAATCGCTGCGCAGTGTTTGGTACCGTTGGTATGCGTTCACGAGTGTCGTGCAGATGCTTGTATGTGGCAGGCGAGGCGTGTCCTGGCGTGTCGTGGCGGTGGCGGGTCCCGGAAAGGCTGTAACGGAAGCGGACAACGGGGAACGCCATGCCGCATTGCCGTGAAACTACACCCGAAGCGGGTCCGGACGTGCTTCAGGCAGGGTCGTGGAATGCTCAAGCGACAGGAGAAATTCCTCGCGAAGTGTGTCTAGGCATGTCGTGGTGGGGCTTTGGAATGTGACAAGCAACGCGGGAGCGTCTCGGAATCTTGGAATGTGGCAAGCAAAGGCCCACGGGGAAGTCCACACGAGGCATGTCCAGGCTTATCGCAAAAAGGATGCTGGAAGCTACAGGGGCATCGAGCTTCGTGGCTCCCTGCGTTTTTTTCGCGGCTCCTCAGAGGCGATGACTTCAAAGGTGGGTTTGGAAAGGTTCATACCTTGGAGTCTGAGAGGAAGCTGCACGACGTCTTCCACGGGCCGTGTGAGGTCCGCAAGCGCACAGAGCCGCCTCTGGTTCTGGTCATGATCGAAGCCTTCAACCAAAATCTTTGGGTCAGCCTTCATCCCAAGCTTGAAATGTCCCGAAACCCTAAGCCATAAAGCCTAAACCGGAGCGACGAAACCCTGACAGAGGGGCTTTGGAGGTTGCACTGGCACGCGCAGTTTGAGTTTTGAGCTCCCACGGACACCGGAGCCTGGCAATCCCGGGCTGGCACAGAGCCAGAAGCGTTTCAGATAAAAGTCGCAGGCTTCTGTGAAGTTTCAAGCTTAAAGTCCTCAGAACGACTGTCCCTAAACCTTCGTGTAGCCCTGCGTTATGCCGACTGCCCTGAGCCCTGACCGCCTGAGTGGCAGAGAGGTAAGAGATTGAGGGGACCTGAGTTGCTTTTGGCCGACGACTTGGATTTGGAGGCCTCTTGTATTTGGTGTCCTCATGTCCTATATTTTATCCTTCTTCCAGAAAGAAGAACAACTTCTGGTATTTTTTCGTTACGAGCTGCATGTCAGCTGAACGTCTGAGTGGAGGTTTGTTGTCGGGACCCATCACAGCCTTTGCACTCGACCCTTGACCTCGCTCGCAATCCAGTCGGGCCCACTTTTGGGAGTCTGCTTTCGGTGATTTCTCTACAAAGTCGGGGCCAGGGCTGCCTGGCGCGAGTCCCCGCCCTGGACACGTGGTCCGATGGTCCGAACTCGCATGGCATGGGTAGCCCTGGTTTGTCCGCACAAGTGCTGCCTGTCCAACGCTTGAAATTCTACGGTAGCTGTCAGTGGCTCAGAGGAACGCCGACATTGTCTCATGATCCCAAGGCCCAGTCGTCTTCCGTGCTTGAAGCATTCGGGGATGTATGCATAGGTCAGCATGTGGACCAGGAGGCGACATGCACAAGGGCTCGCTTATCCTCTGAACTGCAGTCGCCTGCATACTGCTTCTGTCATGCCACTGAATCGCAGTTGAATGGTTTTGTTCGACTGGCAGTTGCAGAGGTCGGGTTCAAGACAAACAGAGACGTGGTTCTCTCTGTTGCGCAGAATTCTCTAGATTTCTCTGCTTGCACTTGCCATGGCGCTGAGATTCCACTGGATCAGGTCGGACATCCCAAGTGGTGGGAAAGCCAACCCTGAACTAAACCCTACACTGTACACCCTGGAGGCAACATAAGCCCTCAACCTTGGACCCGCTCAGGTCGTTGAGACGGTGGAAAGAGAATGGAAGAATGGTAGTAATAGTAGTTATATTTGTATCCCATTCCTCCATTCCCTACTAACCAAAGGTAAGAAGAAGCTAAGATTTCGGAGTTAAGGGAAGAGAGGCTCGAAGTGGCCTTGTCGGGCCAAGCCCGCCCCCCTCCTTTCCCGGGGCCCCGCAGAGTTTGTGGAAGTCTTCAGCCGACGCCCCGCTGAAGAAGATTTTTGAGGATCCACGCTTGAAAGGAATTCCAAATCCAGAAAGGAAAGCAAAAAGCCCTCAGAGCCCCGACTCAGCACGCATCGTTAGGCCAGCTCTGCTGTAGGTGCGGGGTTTTGGACGAATCGCTCGGATACACTGCCCGAAGGTTTTGCCTTTTCAGAGCGGTGGGGTGGGTGTCCAGGGAGATGACACACAGAAGGCATTTGGGCCCGCCTCTGCCCCTCTCTGACTCTCTCTGTCTCTCTCTCTCTCTCTCCTCTGTCTCCTTGTTCTCTCTTCCTCCAGCTTCTCTGCACCCCCAAGTATGACTTCAGGGTTTCAGGTGTCGAGAGGTCCAAAGGTTCAGTCTGACCTGCTGCCAAGTGTGCCACTGGCGATGGTCATCGCCACGGCCTATCTTTTCTATGCAACTTTCCTGCATATCTGCAATCTGCTGAATGTGCTGGCTTCCGCAGATGACACCGGCAAGTTCTGCTTTCTGCAGAGTCCTGCTCCCCCAAAAGCTTCGTTGTGAATAATCGCTTATGCCCGAACCTTGGTAATGTTGAGGCGTTAGTGTGACAGTTTAGCCAGGGCGAGGTGTTTTGCGAAATGCTGGTTTTTTGGGCCCGGACGTGGGCTGAGGATGCAGGAATGTCGTAGTCCCTCGTAGTATTCTTCTAGATTCCTTCTAAGGAACCTGTAAAGGAAACCTATTCCTATTCTTAAGGCCCCTACATCCCAAAATCCCTTTTAGCACCCTGAAAGCCACCTTTTTAAGGATCCTTTTAAAAGCAACCGTCTTCTTCTTCTTAAGGCCCCCACAAAAAAGGCCTCGGAAGTCGCCAGCGATTCCGAGGTCGCGCAGTACAAGCCCTCGCAGAAGAAGGCGAAGCTCCTGCAGGCGCGCGCGGTTTTTCCACAGCTTCTTTTGGGAGGAAACAGGGGTTGGTTTCTTCGGAGGAAACAGGGGCTGAGGGGGTATACGGGTTCCTTTTTAAAAGGATCCAAAAGCGTATTATGAGGGATCTACAGTGTTTGTAGGATTTAGGGCTTTCGTGGTAATTGCAAGAAACAGTCGGTGTGCCTCCACACCTTCGTTTCTGCGAGTCCCAGCTGTTCGAGGCTTGAAGTCGCAGAGGCCCAGAGCTGAAGCTGTTTATAACACTAGAACACCCCGACATCCACAACTTCCAGGATGCACATCTCTGGGATTTCCTTCGCCCGAAGCCGTGGAGATCTGAAGGTAGCGGCGACGCCCGAACAGTAAGACGGAAGAACACTATGATAGCCATGCTCCTGTCCTGGCCCGACAGGAGATGGACATGAAGGTCACCCACAAGCCAGCCGAGTGCTTTCTCCAAGCAGGCGCAGATGCCGAACCTCTTTATGGCGGCCTTGGAAGTCGCCGTGAGGGCTTGAGGATTGAGTTGAAGAAAATGAGGGTCTGAGTCAGAGCGAGAGACAGGGTGTTAGTGGGAGCTGCGACTGGGGTTCGCGGAGCTTGTTGTCAGATCCCGGGTTCTGCAAAAATGACCGCGGCTCAACTAGGTTCATGAACAAACACGACAGATCTCAGCAGGCAGGACTGCACTGTTGCAATAGTTGTAGCACTTTGCAAGGTCTTCAGAAGGCGAAACAGAGCGTCGAAACTCAGAAAGCAGAGCCTCCCTTGAGCGATTGGATGGGAATGTCATTCGATCAACAGGGCGATGAGGAGCATCAACTGGATGAGGCGGCAACTGCGATCATGCTGAGGCGCTTACCAAGCAAGTTGATGATCGACAGCTTCCTGGAGATTTTGAACCAGTTCTGGCCAGGTCGCTACAATTTCGTTTACGTGCCCCATGACAAGTCACGGGCACGGAACGTGGCCTTGGCCTTCGTGAACTTCACGGACAGTGAATCGGCTAGAATGGCATATGTGTACTTTCAGGGAGGCGCCTGTCCGATGGACACCCGCCTTGGTCGTCACCTTCGTGTTTGTCAAGCAGACGTCCAGGGACTCAATCTCAACCTGGCGTATTTTATCGCCAGGAGTGGCTTCAGCGACATGGGTAATCCCCATGCGCCTCGAGTCTTCGAGAACGGTCGACGCATCGACCTCTTGGAGGCCGCGAAGAAGCACGTGACAATGCAACTTGTGGCACAGGCAAGTCAGCACATGAAGGCCGTCGACGATGCCCGGGCGAGAAGAGAGGCGCCGAAGCAACACTGTCGCAACGATGCCTATGTGCCACACGTGCCACAAGCTCCCGGACACCATGCTTGGCATAGAGACCGAGAGGATGACAGCAGCGGATCGTCTACGCGGCTACGAGGAGCTTCCGAAAGTGTTGGGACCGATCCCAGCGCCAGCAGCTCTTCGAGCCATTCGACGACACAGCGACACCGACGTCGGTGGGAAGGTCTTGAACCACTCTTCGATTCTGGCCTGGCAGAGGAACAACCTGATGGCTCCGTCCATTTTTTTCTTTAGCATGGCCCGAGGCTTCCCGTGTCCATGAGCATCAACAACGTGTCTTGGACACGCTCTGTAGGGCGGGGCGATGTCACATTGCAAGAACTGGCCGGTTTTTCCTCCAATCCACATTGATGATAAGGCACCTTGCGAGTTCAGAGAATTCCCTGGTGCCCCATCACATCATCTCCGGTACAGGAGAATTGTTTTCAACATCTCTGACCTTCTCTCCCTCTTCGAAGCCCCTCCACCAGAGCTACAGTGTTATCACCGAAGCAGTGGTGCTGAATACACCACCCTCAATTTTTTGCAGTTGTGTTTGACATGTCCTGGTGTCCATGTGAGTACCCGTCCTGTCGGATTGTCCTGTTCAAAAGCGCGATGGCGCGACATAAGTTCGGCAAGGTTTCGATTCCGTCAGTTGGCCTACGACAGGGCGGAAGATCACACATGGACCATTCTCGCCCGCACGCGCGGAACCACAGCACAGATGAGTAGTTGCAGTGACGAGAGTTGTGGGGTCAGATTCGAGGCTGGAGACTCTGCAATCGGAGTCCCATGAGAGACCAAGAAGCAGCGAAGAGTGTCTGGAGTCTGGACCTAACAACTCTCCCAGACGTCCTGGCGCTGCAAGAGCGCTTCCTTGTCGCCTCTTTGCGGCCAACAGAGTGGAGAAAAAGGGAAAAAGACCTGAAGAGGCGAAGCCTGCAGGGACCTCTCCGAGATGGTGCAGAAATGCCCTAGAAGTTCGAAATCCGAAATGCCCTCTGGGAGGCGACGGTGATCTGGTCCATGTCCACTACACCAGCCGCTGGGATACGTTGGGCTTTGAAGCTTCGGGCAAGACCTGAATTTAGGCTCCACCCGAGAGTGGGGGACTGCTTGGAGTGCTCTACAAGCCTGTATGATTGCTTGCTATGGAGGCCTTAAGCCCTCAGCTAACAGCTAAAGCCGCTGAAGCTTCCACTCTTGGTGTCGATGGGGCTTAGTGAGTCAGAGTCGTGGTGTGGGGGCTTCCGAACACCTTGTGAGGAGTGTGTCTTACTTCTCCGTCTTTTCTTTTGTCCTGTGCTTGCTATCACGGTACTCGTGTTCTTGCTGCGATGGTCCTCATGACTGCTTTCCTTCACCGAGTTCTTGCTGTTTCTGAGGCAATGTTAAGGCCCTAGGCCATCGTGACTCTGATGATCTGTGATGCTTTTGGCGAGAAGCTCAACTCAAAGCACATGAAGAGGATGACAGCGACCACCACGATGCTGAGGTGGTTGCTCTTCGACATGTGAATGTCTAAACAGAAACTGAAGATTTGAACCCCACTGTACTCTCTGAATCCTTGAACCCTATGGTGGCTTTGCTGGGTTTACCTCTTTGTATATCCTGGCACAACCTTCCCTGTGTGCAATCTTCCCCGGTGTCTTCTGCTTGTTGTTTGTTGTTGCTGTTGCTGTTGCAGAACGCTTTCGGTCTCCATGTGGGAGGCGCAAGAATCTAAGAAGCCCGAAGCAAGGAGCCCCCTCGCTTCAGGTTTCCTCAAAAAGGAGGGGACGCAGTTCGAAAGTACTAGGGGCGGTGATCCGTTCCTCTCTTGCAATCTGGGGGTCAAGGGTTCACGGACGGGCAAGGCTGTTTGCGGAGGCGCTTGAGTGTTGAGGGTTGATGATCCCGTTGAGGCTTGCAGTGTTTGAAGCGTCGCGGTGGTGTCTTTTGAGGCTGGAGGTCACTAGAAATCCATGCCCGCACCTTGAGTTCTAACCTCGCAGAGTCTACATCTAAACCTTCCGCTATCCTGGACCGTCTATTACAGACCGAAAGCCGGAAGATGAACAACTTCGTCTTGGGCCATAGGATTCGGGGCCCTCAAGTCTAGCACGCATGTTACGAACTCGTCTGGCCTTGCCGGCCTTGCCGAGTTGCAAGCGGCAAAAGGAGGAGCAGTGGTCCACGTCCCTTGAGCCGGAGCATCGCACACACAGCCTTAAAATGTGGTCCTTGGAATTCACGGCATCATTGCCACACACTATCTTAAAGATGTGCTTGTCTGACCGTTGTTTAGAATTACTTAGGCGTTGGCTTCCCAGTGTGTTGTGCGTCCCGGTGTTAAAGAATTAAGTTCGGCTCTTTCGGTCGTAAAGAATACACGAAACAAGAGAAAACATTGATATTAAAACACAAGAACCACAACTAGAGGACAGTGACCTGTTGGCTCCTGTGGTAAAATCAAGTGTCTTCCAAGATGGGCGGTTACAAGGGACCGAAAACTAAACGAAACAAAAGAAAATAAGAAAAAAACGCAGTGCACTTGTTTACCCTTCTCGTCCGTATGGACACGCTCACACTTTGGCTCAGCAGCTGTGGAGCAGACTGTGTGCGCTTAAGTACTTTGCGAGGTATGTGTTCAAGCTGGGCAAGTGCAAAGATCACTCCAAGCCTGAGTGCATGAAGGGCTTTCAGTCCGCCCTGTCACGGTCTCAGCATTCTTGGGATTCAGGTTTCAGGGGTTGGCTATGGGGGCGGTCGGGCATGCAAAATGTAAGAGCCCGGCTAGAAAAATGATGCAAGTCCCCCGAAGACAACCACTCCCCGGATCCTCTTACACAACTCTGACTGCCTTCAAGGAATGAGGATTTTAAATGGTTCAGGAGCTCCAGCAGCGGAGGGCAGTGCTGGCAGTCATCAAGTCCGGTTTCAAAAAAAGGAGCTCCAATCAAGCCTGTGTAAAAAGGGTTTAGGAAAGAACTACTACCCTAAACTCTTGATTCTGGGTTCCATCCTACGTCTGCTCTTAGTCGCTGATGTCGCCAGTGAGAGTGGATTGTCCACTATTTCGACATGGAGGCGTATTATGTTTTACCGTCGTATCGCCGTCGTAGTTACCGTAGCTCAGTAATTAGTAAACTACTCTCGTTGATCGTTGAGTCTTCCGGTCATTCGTGACACTCTCTGGGCGCACTTAGTGAATTTTCTTCTCTCGCGGGTTCTACGGCGCCAATAGTGTGGTCGCAAAGCTTGGATCCTTTTTGCTCGTAGGGAAGAAATAGGAGAGTGGATTGCCCGGAGACTCGTTTCAGTGAGCGGCGAGACCCTAAACCCTAAACCCTAAACCCTGAACCCTAAACCCTAAACCCTGAACCCTGAACCCTAAACCCTAAACCCTAAATTCACAAACCAAACCCCCCCAAAATGCCGAGAGTGGGGGGATCCAGAGCCCGCCCAGGGAACCCTAAGTCTGAGGCAGAGACCCCGGGACTTCAACATCCCGTCATTGAGGAATAGACCTTAAATTATAGTAGGATCCCTGACATGATGTTAGGAATGTTCCTTCGCTTAGGGATATTAGAGTCTCTAGAGAACCCGAAACCCGAGGTCCAAGACCCTTTTGAACAACCGTATAGAGGCCTGATAAAATTATTACGCAGCCCGTGAAAGAACTTGTCCAAGACCCGTTAATTGTGAATGCTTAAAGCCTCTACCCACAGTACCCGAAGATCCCAAATCCGAGTTGAATCGGGCTTTTCACTTACCGCCCGTCCTGTACATGTCCGAGCGTAAGTGCCGAGCCCCAAGACAGCCTGCCACGATAAAGCCCTAGCCGTAGCCCACACAGTGCGGGTCCTAGCTAGTTGGGAGGCAAAACAACTAAGCCCATTTGGCCTCGTCCTTGCTAAGTAGGAGGGAAAAAAGCCTTGAACCCTGCACCGGGCACCTGCTTATGGGCTTGATGCCTCCGAATGTTGGTGGACAGTAGCTTCGAACCCGAGGCCGTAGTCATCTATTCTCTGAAGTACCCTGCAATGCGGGCCTCGTCGTTGCTAAGAGAGAAAAGCCCTAAACCGGAAGCCCAATCACTTCCATGAGGCTGGGCATGTGCGCCGGGGAGAAGCGGAAGGAAGCGGACCGAGACCGTTATAGTACATTGCATAGGATAAGAGAGCAGAACACAATCACAATTTCATGTCGTGTAATATAACGACAAATAGTATATGGGATGAAGTATAACGTGTGAACCTCTTAGATCGAAAACTACCGGGTAGTAGTTAAAAGTTACACGTAAGGGAACTGTAGTGCTTGTTACTGTTTCGGGCTCAATATGTCGGTTTTCAGGGTTTAAGGGTTCCGGGCTCATGGGGTTGTTGAACGCGAGTTCTCAGCTCGCCACCGGAAACGGAGAATCGCCATGAGTACTGTTTACCAGGTACTCGTAGCTTGTTCGATTCATGAACTGCTGCTAAGTTCAATCAGTGCATTCTCGAAGATAGTGATGCGTAACGTCTGGGGATGTGGTTTCGCCGATTTCAAGACCATTGGCAAAAGATAGAGGAGGAGTCCTCAAGTGAAGACAGGGACCTCTGTAGCAGCAACTGCATCTGGAAATATCCAGATGATCGTAATACTACTACTAACAAAATAGGGATATCTACAGTAAGCCACACTGGGCCAGCGTTTCTGCATCGTGCAATAGTATGGAGGCCACCGTGCCGCCCAAGCTCGGTTACGACAAGAAGGCGGTGCTGCACAGTAGTAATTAGAACGATAAGAACAATACGCAGAAGAATGTTTATCATACTGACCACAAGAGTAATGACAATAATGATAATAACAATAATGGTAATAATGATGAATAGTAAGCAGGATACTGATGAGGATGAGAGTGAGAATAACAATTTTAGCAATGATACATCTGTTTTGATGCCAACGAGCAGCAACATCAACATGCCGCGAAAAGTCACCAGATCCCCCCCGCAAAGTTCATCGTACTTAGCGAAACAACCTGAAATGCTTTACGTCCCGCGCTGACTACTATATGCATCGTGCGACCAGGCTTGAGCGCAGCAAGTGTTGTCAATATCCGGTAGCTGGGTCTAGGCTCCGTGGTATTGCTCATTGCAGCAAGAGCATCGAGCTAGTATGATCCTACAGTATTCTGCCCCCCGTTTTTGCTGCTCATCGTTGTCGCCGTCAGTTCCACCGTCATCGTCGTCACCGCTCTACTACAGCGACTTTCATCATCTGCAGGACGATCGGCCTTGTCGCTATGACTCTCATCTTGGCAGCATCATCAAAGCCCGCACCGTCACTTTACCATTATGCCACTATCATCACGGTCTCTTTCTTCACCCGTGCTGTTTCCATCATGACCAGCGGATTTGATTTTATGCTTCCTTGTTGTTTCCTGATGCTCTCCAGCCCTGGCCCCCCGTCTGGTTCTGCTACTGTATGCGTACCTGGCATTTCCTTATGTGACCCTGGCTTTCACCCGAGTCGGTTTCACCACATGACCATCCCGTTAAGAAGCACGATGTCATCATTGTCGTCCGCACCACCACCTTTTTTTTGGCCGCGTTGCTATCACGGTCATCGTGGCGTTTTTATGCCTCGGTGTTTTTGAGGTAACCCGAAGGCCTTAAGCCCTTAGGCTTCTGGCATCCCCAGGGGTCGCATCCTCCCAAGAAGCGGAGAGCTTCAATCCAACTTTTTCAGGCTCGCCCTTCGGGAGTTCGATCCGACGAGCATCTCATCTTCCACCTCGAAATGGTGGACATCGACAAAGCTTAGTCTGGGTTTGCGTTTGTTTAGCTTCGGGCTCACCATAAAGAATTGGATGATCTTGAGCCGGGTCTTCAAGCAGCACACTACTCGTGTTCGCCCACTTGTTTTAATACTTGTGGCATCGTGGTCGTTGTCGTCGTTTGCGGCTTCGCTGCCTGATGTTTGTTACTAGTATGGCTATGAAGTTTGTTTGTCCGTTCCTCAATGCAACGATTGGCGCGTAGCGAAGCTCTTCATGCCCGAACCCGGCCGTGCAAAGCTTCGGCCCCGCAGGAAAAAAACAGGATCTAGGGGCATCCGAGAAAAGCGTTTGTGCTCCTACCTTCTTTTGATACGGGTCAGGCAAGGCAAGGGTTTGGAAGGTTACGGCTAAGTTCAGGGTATGGAAGCAGAGAAGCCGATGAATGTTTTTGTCTGGCAGCACGCAATTCAAGGCTGAGGGCTCCGAGACACGGACCTAGGAAAGGAGACCCGTCTTACCGATCACTCCAATCTAATGGCAACGCTTCTGTTGTCGAAGCTGTGTTTCCAAAATCAGATTTTCAGGCGGGTTTGGGATGGATTGAAACTATCCGGCAAACGCCCTTGCACCCCAAGCCCGGAAGCTTCAAGCCCCTGTCGAGCCCTGTCAAAGCTGAAGCCAGAAGACGCATGGAGGACTTGATTCCAGAATACCCGTGCCTCCACACCTGTAATGTCGAATCCCGCACACACAGTAGCTGCCCTTGAGCCTAGGCAACCTCCGGCAAACACCCAAGAGAAAGATGGCATCCTTGCAGTACTCAGTAACCAGCTGCATTCACGCAGCATGGGTTACGACCTTCGCAAGCAAGCCCAAAGGCACGAACTACTTAGCCTGAGCTACAAGTCCCCAGCCCCAAGCCCTTAGGCTTGCAAAGCCTCGCACCACCAAAGCCCCGCACAGCAGCTCTTTGCCGCCAGCCGCTTCCGGCTTCGCAGCCTCCCTGGGGCGGAAGCGGGAGGGATCATGGCGCCCGGCTCTCAGGGACGCTCATCAACTCAACCCGGTCTGAGGCTTGAGGGTCTAGCTTTGGGATTTGGGTTCATCACAGCTACGGTCCTAAGATGGTGATAGGCTGCAGTGTAGTGACCATTCGTTGCTACAGCCGTCGTGGCTACTAGTTATTATTTAAATTTTGGGATGAGTCTCCGGCAACGTCACCGATTGCAACCACAACAACAACGACGAACAAGACGACGACTATGGCCAAAACAACAACGAAAACTACAGCGAGAACAACTGTTGCAACAGCAGCAAGAACAACAACGACTGCGGCAGCTCCTGTAGCTGATCCTCCTCCTGCTGCCGCTACTGCTACGACGACGACAACGACGACGACTACCACTACTACCACTACCACTACGGCTCCTGCTTTGTTTGTCATGCTGCCACCACCACCACCACCGCCAACACCGCCACCACTACCACTATTACTACGACGACGAGGCCATTTCGCAAGGTTAGCTAAGACAAGCACAAATGCACTGGCAGCCTAAGGGCTGTTACCCGCATGGAGGAGTAAGGGGTGGAGGAGGAGGAGACGAGGACGAGGACAAAGACGAGCAAGAGGACGAGGAACCGACGACGATGGAGCGTCCGACGACAACGGCGGTAGCGGCTTCGACGACGATGAAGGCATTGACAATAGAAGATCTCACGCGCGCCCATCCTGCCCCAGCAGTTTCGGCTCTGGTACCTAACAATGCCAATCGTGTAAGCAGAAGATTGAGTCGTGCAAAGGTGTGTAGATCTGTACAGGACCATTGCCTGCTGTTGTGAGTACTTTCTCCTGCTCACATTGAGCGTGCGCGTTGAAACGGTCATCTACCATGAGACGGTAGCAGAAATCCTTGTACTTGTACCAATAGCAGCTGTGTAATCAGTGTAATCCTTGTAGCAACCGCTAATCGCCGCCAATCAGAGCCGCTTGAAACATGCAATGACCACACTTGTGCAGCATTCTAAACCCCTCCTGTGTGAGTCTATATAAATGTTAAGATTGGTTGGCCCGCGTCAGCTGGTGTTCTGTGTGCGACGGTGGCGCGTCAGTGAACATGTCAGCGAATACCAAAATTGCCGGTGCGTGAGATGCTCCGCAGTACGCGTCAGCAATGCGATAGCTGCGGCGCTAGTATCATCCCTTTGGAACAGCATGAGAGAAGGGTTTTGAACACTGAAACCATCAGCCGTGCCCAGGCCAACGGGAGATGGGGTGCGCCTGCCCTCCCTGGGGACTTCCGCCTCTGCGGTGACACTGCCGAAGCAAGGCCAGGCCCAGGCTTTTGAAGGAGGTGGCGAGTAGAAATGTCTTCACGGTTGTGAGCTGGTTTCGCACATCTGTGGAAGTGGTTTCTGTTCCTCGTGCACAGATTTGCTGAGGCGTTGTCGGATTCCTGATTTTCTGGCGAGTCTCTTTGACCCAACATGTTCAATAAAGCGGACCTGCCCGGGAGCCTCAAGGCCTCAAGCCCATTTGCCTCCACAAAGACGGCTCACTTACGCCATATCCGCCATGCCAGCCATCCACGGCTCACCGAGCCCGAGCCATGAACGTCAGAAACCTTGATGCCCACACCGCAGCCTAGAATCGCCGATGTTCTTCCGGCCCTGAAGCCGAAGCGTCTTTCTTTCACTTTGTGAGCCACTGGCAATCCTAGACGCACGGCAAAGCCCGTAGCCTTTTCAACATCCTTAGGTACGACATGATGTGATGTTGAAGTCTGTGGAGGGAGGTGAGCCGCAATGGCTCCTGTCTGTCTTGTCTGTGTTCTATGGGTTCACATGCCCAGAGGCCCAAAAGAGAGACAAGCCAAATATTTGTGTTGGACGCATCAGACCCGCAGCAAGCTTGGACACAAAGCAAAGCTATCCGTCGTTAGCAGGCGATGCGGAAATGCAACGAGCCACGAGCCAGACAGACCTGCGGCCGCTTTGCTGCGGGTTTGGTCGCCTTGTGGGTTTTAGGACGTTGCAGGGTTGGGAGAGTTGGGATGAGTTCGGGGTTCGGAATGCGCTGCTTGGATCGGTGGGGAGTGGTGTGCCAAAGCCACAAAGCCTCAGCCAAATCTCCACTCGGAGTAAGTGCGCACTTCCTGCTTTCATCCCTATGCCTTCGCGATGTTCGGATAATGACACTGTGGCAGCACTCAGCACAGGTCGCAGTCCAAACCAGCCTGGCCCAGCACGAAGCCCAAGAGCGGGCTCGTGTCCGTCGGGCCCCCGGTTTCAGGATTAAAATTCGAATGGGAGTTCCTTTCAAGGGCTTAGAATAGGGGTTCCTTTGAAGGGCTCTATAAGGGTTACTATAATTAGAATAGGGGTTCCTTTAAAGGGCTTTGTCAGGGTTACTTTAATCAGAATAGGGGTTCCTTTAAACGGCTCTATAAGGCAAGCAAAAATTAGAATAGAGGTTCCTTTAAAGGGATCTATAAGGGATGCCATGACTAGAATAGGGGTTCCCTGAAAGGGCTCTATAAGGGTTACTACAATTTCAACAGTGGTTCCTTTCAAAGGATCTACAAGGGTTCCTATAAGTTTAAGGTATATTATCATAAGGGATACTTTAACTAGAATTTGGGGGTTCCTTTAAAGGGCTCTGTAAGGGTTACAGGAATTAGAATAGGGATTCCTTTAAAGGGCTCTGGTTCCGTTAGAGGGTCTAGAAGGGTTACTATAAATAGAATAAGGGGTTCCTTTAAAGGGCTCTATAAGTGTTACTACAATTAGAATAGGGGTTCCTTTAAAACGGCTCTATAAGGGTTACTACAATTAGAATAGGGGTTCCTTTAAAACGGCTCTATAAGGGTTACTACAATTAGAATAGGGCTTCCTTGAAAGGGATCTATAAGGGTTACTATAGTTAGAATAGGTTATCCGTTAAAGGGCGCTATAAGAGTTACTCTAATTAGAGAAGGGGTTCCTTCAAAGGGCTCGAGAAGGGTTACTATAATTAGAATAGGGGTTCCTTTAAAGAGCTCTATAAGGGTTACTATAAGGGATACTATAGGGGCCCTTGTGCATTCCCGTACCTGGCATACCTTTGCCGCACCTACCATTGTCCCTGTCTCCCTTACGATGGTTGGTATTTGTGATGATAGGGGTCGAGATGTTTGACCGCAACATATAATGTATGGGTCGTTGCTCGCTTCTTTTCCTGCTGTACATACTGACTTTTGCTGTTGCTGGCATTGGCTGCTGCACTTATTCAGCTGTTGAAGGATGTTGTGACTGCTGCTGCTGCTGCTGCTGCAACGACAACAACCACTACTACTACTACTGCGAGTGCGAGTAAGACTACGACTACGACTACTCTTTTTCTTCTTCTTGTTGCCTCGTCGTTGTTCCAGTATTTGTCCGTCCGATCATTGACAGTTTCGTGGAAGCTAGCCCTTCATCCTATACATACAGCGCAGGTCTTCCCTGTATGACATTGAAGCCCTCCCCCGCCCTCTGCTATGTCTCGGCTTCCGAAAATGCCCCCAAACAACACAATTTCAAGCCTCAGTCTTGCATGCACATTCTCTCCTTCTCACACATTTGCAATTTCGAGTGTGTCGTCGTTTCAGGATTCGTCGTCGGAGCCTGATGGTGGATGGCTTTTTCTTTTAATTCTCCGACCCCGTGCCGTCTACGGAGGCCAAACCACCCAAACCTGTTCCTTTTGGGGTTTAGCACCAAAACTCGTTCCATGGTTTTCTCTTTCTCTTCAGCTTGTTAATGAGAGCAGGCAAGGCAGGGCAAGGGCGCGGAATCAGGGGACGGCAGGAAGGAGGGCAGGGCAGGGTCCAAGGGGGGCCAGGACAGGGAGGCCAGGCAAGCTCAAAACAGCCAAACCTTTTGTCCAGGTTCCCAAGAACGGGCCTGTGAAGCCACTAAATCCTGGATTTCTGCTCGCTGGAGACCCTCAGGACCTTTTTTGGGGGTCCCTTTTTGGGGGGCCGCCAGCCAAGGACTTGGGGAAACCCCAAACCTTGCATCCCCCAGCCAACCCAAATTCCCCGACATGCCCGCCGCCGCAGAGCACTTGCTATAAGGGCCGAAATAATTACCTATCCTATTCTGTCGGTTCCTTACTATATTTATTGTATAATGGGCCCCAAAACCTTGTTCTAATTATTGAGGCCCCTGTATCCATTTAAAGCCCCAGACCTAGAAGTCCCAGACCTTTCCCTCACCCTGAACATCCCTGAACCCTGTTAAAACACTCCCAGCCCTTTTTGCGAGGTGAAGTTCCGCGGGGATCATGGAATCTCCTTCGAGGGCACCCGGGTGTCGCACTCGGTCCTCCAGGCTGGGGTCCCGGTCCCTTTTTAACGTGTGTGCAAGGCTTAGGGGGCTATTTCCCGAGCCAAAAGCCAGTATTCTTGTTCTTGCTGTTGTCAAGTTCTGGACGTGCTTAGGTTCCCCAGCTGCTGCTATTGCTGTTGCTACTACTGCTGCCCGACGAGTTTCTGTCATGACGAGTTTTCGAACCATGATATTCGTTGCCATCTTCCGTTCCGCACTGCTCATCCTCATCATGGATGATGCTGTCCTACTTTTGCCCATCTTCTTCTGCTTTTCGCAGCCATGTCACGTTCCACTTCCTTGAGATGCTCGGACACTAGATTTTAATGGCATAGGCCAACTTGTACATCCTGCAGCCATGAGCACGACAGCATAGATGCACGTTGGGTGAGATTGCCGCTGAATGCAGCTGCTTTTTGCATCCGGCTCCTCCCCCTAACTTTGCTTGTGCCAACTCATGCGGCTCCTCCTGCTGCTACTACTACTGCGACTGCTGCTGTTCCGGCTGCTGCTCCTGCTACTGCTCAGGCTCCTGCTCCTCTCCTGCTCCTGCTGCTGCCACTGCTGCTGCGACTGCTTGTGAAGCTGCTTGTCGACCCGAATCTCCTGAAGAATGAGCAGAGAGAGTCGGGACTTCGTCACTGCGCTCGGAAGCACGAATTTTTTGTCTCGGCTCAGACACATGGCCAGTGGACCCCGGAGCAAACTGATGCAACATGGTCAGCAGCAAAGCCCACTTAGCAGAACTTACCGCCCAGCCCCTCAGAAGCTGATCAGGTGTACAACCCCACACCTGTCGAACTCAACATCCCAGCAAACCCAGCCAGAGACTTTCAGATCCCGCGCAGGAGCAGTATGCACGGAGCCACCAGCCCCGAACTCGGCCCTGAAGTCACAAAATGTTCGAGCTTGGGAAGACTTGGAGAAACCCCCTGTCATCCGTGCAAGTCCAGCTCCGCCCTCAGCGTCCGACGCCATGAACCTCCTTGTGGGCTCTTACGACAGCGATGGCGAGGAGGATCCTGCACCGCAAGGTGCCGGGCATGCGAAGAAGGGTCCGGGCAGGTTTTCCAGAGGTCAAATTTTGCTCTCTCGTAGCAGTGTCCGTACGACAATGGTCCGTGAAGGCGTCTTCTTCTTGTAAAAGCCCCTACGCAATTGTCGCCAGAAGCAGCATGATGAAACTGTCGATGCTGTCTTGGAGTCTCTAGGCCTCTAGGATCCTCTAGGCCTCATGCCTGCGAGATCTTTGTTTCTCAGGTCGTCGGGTCGGTTTGGATCTACGGGAAGTTATGGCGAGCCGTACTCGATTACTCGATAAGTACATGTTGCTTGCATTTCCGCGAGTGGCCCTTCCTTCGTTCAAGAAGTCTTCTCGCTACCAGCACTTTTTTCTTTGTCTTCTGCTGTTGCTTTCTGGTTCCTAATCTTGCCAAAGTCTTGCCAATCTTGCCACTTGCCGTACTTCTTGATGGTAGTGATGGTGCTGGCAACTTTGAGAGACCTTGTCTTACACAACTGGAGCTGTGTGCTCCGCATGGTGACGATATGAAGTACGCTGGCACCAAAGCATCCCAGCTTTACTCCAGCGGCTCAAAGGACAGCACATAAACACGAGGCGGCGACCCCGAAGCGGTACGATCGCCCCTTTGACTACAACCCGAAGACCTAAACCAGACAACCCAGACCTCTTTCGGAGCATCGTCGGTTGAGGGAGAGTACAAGCCTGGAGACGCAGGCATTTTGAAGGATCCCATGCAAGGCTTCTGAAGGCTGGCCCAGGAAGCCCCGAAAAACACTCAAGAGCTTTGAAGCATTAAAACCTCAATCGCAGTCGTTTCAGGAAGGCTTGAACCCCCCCAAAACCCTATTCTAACTATTCAGGCCCCTATTTTTCCCGTGTGCCGTCTGGCGGAACGCCCGTGTTTTTTCTGAGAAAGCCGGCGCCAGGGACGCTTCCCCGGCCACCGGCCCTGGAGCCCAAGAAGGCGGAGCCGCAGAAAGAGGAGGTGGGATACTTGGTACCTTCATTGGGGTTATGAGTAGTCAAGTAGTTATAAGTATAGTTACCCGAATTACAACCCTAGCCCTAGTTATTAAGTCCCATGATCCTTCAAGTAGGGTTTCAACTCTGCGTTTTTTTTCTTCTGGTTCCGGGTTTAGAGGTTGAGGTTTCTTGTTACCCGGCTTAGCGGTCAGGGTTTCGGATTGTTGCCCAGTGCAGCACTCAACGGGGAGCAAGTGTCGGGATGTGTCGGGCAAAGCTGGTGTCTTTTCCTGAAGCTCCGCCGCGAACACAGCGAAGCCGGAAAAACATGCTGAACCACCTTGTCCTCAGCCAGTAGAGAGCCCCGCAGGTCATGCCGGACGCAGATCCAGAACCGCAGGAGGCACAGATGCATCCGGGGCTTCTTATCCATTCTGTTTGCTGGGCCTTACGCGGATTTCCTCTCGTCGTGTGATGTTTGTCCTGGGTAGGCTTACCCTAAAGTTAGTCTGAGGTTCGGCTCACCGAAGCCTGAATCGACGGCTCAACACTTCGGGCCCCGCCAGGCTTTTGGAGTCCGTATCCCCTTGTCTTGTCGCCTTGGGTCTGCGAACGGAAAACCCTCCACCATGCACCTACGAAGTCGGTTTTTGCCAGGCTGAACTACTTATGTCCTCAAGCGGCAGATTTCAACGCCTTCGCTCTGAACTGTGATGGATCTGAGCCTGACCCCCTGAAACACACGGGCTTTGGAGCTCTTATGGTGGTTGCATTGAGGGCACCTTTGGACCTTTGATCAGGGGTTCGCCGCACACTGCAATCGTGGCTCACAGCAGTAAGTCACCTCAGCTGCAGCCGTGTATCAACGATAAACAAACGACTCAATCTGGTGGCACGATGTGGCACGAGATGACACACTCTACTGTACAAGCACTCCTCAACCCAGGCGATCTAAGACAAGCAAATGCAACGAAGATTCACCCTGTATTACAAAAACGAAAAGGAGGGCACAGCCAAAAGACCACGTCATGCCGCGATCTCGGTCGCCTGGCCGTGCGCCGTCATGCCCTCAGCTTGAGTGGGTCAGATCCTGTTGGAATATATGCATAGACCTGCCCGGCGCAGGATTGGCGGCTCACGGTGCTTCCCCTTACATCCGAAACAGTACAGCCACTATGCCAGTGCAGGCATGTAGCACTGGAAGTCCAAGACTGGTGGCACGTGATGGCGACCCAGCGAAGATCAAAAAGTGGTCCAGGCCTTGGATACCCCGGCTTGCCTCATCTTACAATATTCACGGACTGATCAAAGTCTTATGCTGCGTGCTCAGGCTTTGCACAGGGGCCCATGACTCTGTCGATGCCTCAGCTTGATCCTGAAAGCATGAAGCAGCGGCGTTAACGACACCACCTGACCGCAACTGCAACTCCCTTCAATCTGACATCAGCACTCTTTGAAAGCATTCCTCTCTCTCGTGCACCGTAGCCCGCCCATTCGCAGCTCGCAGCTCTGTGATGTCCAGGAGCCTGAGGAGAGCACGCAGGCAGGCTCGGACTCCGGGGGTGAAGGCGGCCAGGCCGGGAGTGAGCTCTGCTCCTCCGCTCCGCTGTCCCGTCTCTCTCTCTCTCTCTCGCTCTCTCCCTCTCTTGCTCTCTTCCGCCTTCCGTCTCCGTCTCTGTCTGTCGTCAGACGCGGGAGCTCAGCGATTCGCAGCTCCCGAAGCCGCCGCTCGGCTTTGAGCGCTGCTTTGCCTCCTTTCTCGTCGGGGAGAGCTGTTCGTCGGATCCGTTGTCCTGTGCCCCACCTGGAAGCACGTCTCAAGTCAAGGCCGCTTACCGACAAGGCAAGGCTGAGGGACCTGATTGACGTGGGATCAGAGTCCCGACTTGGGCTGTGCTTTCTCGCTGTCAGGAGAAGCGAAAGATCAAGCGCGAGAAGGACATGGAACGCCTGGAACAGCCGCCGCCTCTGAGGCATCTCCAGAATTGCAGCCATTCGCTTCTCTATGTCCTTCCGAGGCTTAGCAGAAGGAGGAGGAGAAGGGCATCCCGGAGGCAGGACACCGAGGAAGCCAGGTTATGCAATGAAGGGATCGCAGTGGGAGCAATCCTGGCAGTTTAGGGCGACAAGACTTGCAGACTTGCAGCCATGACAAAGTTCCACGAACGACTCGTTGAGGCCCAGACCAGGGCGCTGGGCTCCTTGTTCGTGGAGACCAACGAGTGGAGGCGCTCTTTGCAGAGAGCTCGGGCAGAGCTCGCGAGCCTTTAGCAGCTCTGTGTTTCGAGGATGGAGCTGCTGGACGTCGCCTACAATCCCCGCAGCTTGCTCGGAGGGGATTTTTCCCTGGTCCTCCTCGGCAGGGCGGATGTGTCTCAGGCTCGACCTTCGATTTGAACGAGGCCGTGCCGGAGAAGTACAACAAGCGCTGCGGCCAAGATCAGGAAGCTTAAGCCCAACTGTGATACACTTAGACTTCGCTGCGTGAAGCGGATCTCCTGTCGCACTGAGGCCTGAGCTGCCCATCGCACAGGACCAGGAGGCCATGGGTGAGGGGTGACGGTCTATTGCAGCCATGGGCCATGGGTGAAACGGAAGTGTTCAACTGCCCCTGGACTGGGAAGTCAAGTCTTTTTGAGAGGTCGCTCTCCTGCAGGCTCCCACGTCGGTCCCTGAGCCCTCAGAGCAGACGGTGCTTTGTGCGTTTCTGGGCCCGTGAGGATCGTGTCCACCGGCCCGACCAAGCCTTCGGACCACCGGGAGCCCGCCCAGGACCAAGATCCCGCAAAGAATCCTGGAAAGGTTCGCAAGACAAAGTTTCGGTTTCCGAAATGCCCATCTGCGAGGCTGCCAATGCGTGACAACCTGAGCACGGACGGTGGGAGCGGAAGGGGACGTCGGCCTCTCTTGCCTCGTTGCACGGCTGAGGCGGTGGCCACAGAAAGGTAAGGCCTACGGAAAAGGCAAGGGCCGCGGAAAAGGCCCACCCGGCAAAATGCACAAGAGAAGAGCATGA